AAAAAAAAAAAAAAAACCCGAAAGACGGAGCCCGAGCCAGCGACGGCCGGAGGAACGTCGACGTCGATACGCCCTTCGTTATTCCTGTTTGTTATTTTTCCTCCCGACTGGAACTACAGGACAGGACAGGATCGTCCCGAACTTGTCCTCGGAGATAGCGAAGGCGATCCCCATGCAAATTCCTGTCGGAACCGCCCGAGTCACGCTGATGAAAATGTTGATTGAAAAGGAGAATCGATGCTCCTCGAGTTCCCGTAGTACCTTAAGCCTATAAGGCCTAACGTTTTAGGACGTCCACCATCGTCTTCTCGAGAATTGTGTGACCACGCCTGCTCCCGACGGCCTCTTCGCACCGCGTGCAGTCACGAGCCAACCCAAATGCCTGCTTCTCGCACGAGCCTGAGCAGGGATGCGCGATGCGGGTTGTGCGTACCTCCGGCGTTTTTTGGCGCATTTGGTGACGTTTCTTTGACTGGGATGTGGTGCTTCGTTAAAACACAATTCGGTACGTACGCATACGCGATGTTCTTGAGCGTCTGCAGAGGTCATGCCGGTGTTTTCGCAGCGATCGACTGAGATTGCCCTTGAGTGCAGAAAATCTGCATCGTCATTCCGTGACCCTGAGCCTGCATTCAATATTGGTCTGAAGTGCTGAGGAATTGGAATTACATTCCGTACGCAGAAAACTTTTGGTGTGCCGGAGGGACGCAATTTGTACTCGTACGGTCATTTGGACACTCTTTGTTTTCGTTTTATGAAGGCGAAAATGTGTTTTGACACGTTTTGGACTTCTTGAAGAACCTCAAGGAAGCCTAATGGGCTTTTTCGGGTCAGAAGTGCATCGAAATTCTGGGGAAATGATGGTGGTGTGTCGATTTGGCACGAAGGGAAGGAGGGCACTAACCCCGAGGTCAAAGGGAGGGGAGGCCAGCTACATTCCGTGCTCGGAAGATGGCAGTGACCTCGCTCGGCAGAACGACTCGCACTTTGGGGACGGAATCTGGGGTATTCCCAGAAACGACAGAACCATCATTTTCCGGCTTTGCGTAAATCTGGTCTGGACGTAGCAAAACCGAGAATTATTCGGGGTGGAGCATTGTTCTCATCTGCGTGAAGTAGCCAAAAATGCCGCAGACCCTGTCGGAAACAGACGACAGTTGGGGGCGAAGGAGTCCTCCCTGGGACGAAAATGGGCTTATTAGCTACTTTTCCCTTTTGGCGGTGATTCCCCTCCGAACATCTACCTGAAACTGAACACGAGTTCAGATTCTCGGTCCTTGCCCTGTAGCACTTGTCAACTGAACTACGCAACAGGAAGATTTCACGATCCTAATAGGTGCCCTACCTGAAAATCTTCCATCGAGATCCCTTTTTTCCCTTTTGAATTCCGAATTCTTGAAGAAATTTTGCTTCTATGCTGAATCTTTTACATCTATTTGCTGCTAAGAGAACGCAGTTCACACGGAGACCTTCTGACACATATCGTACGTATCAGAAATCCGACGCAGCGTGTCAAAAAATATTTTGTGCGTCGAGAAGTACTTCGCAGAAGGCTTAGCTGGAATTTGAGCCCATTCAAAAACAGAACAAGGAATAGAATTCTTGTCACCTAACAGACAGTGTTTAAGACTTCCGTTGGGTGTGGGCTCCACTTGACTTGTCCCAAAAATCCAGGGATAAAATCGAATTTTGCGTGTGGGAACGCAGGTGACTTATAACAAGCATTGCAGACCGCGCCAGGATGGGCAAGGACTCGACAACCTTACGTCAATCTTTCAATGTTGAACCTCAATTAGCCAGTCCATCTTGCATTTCGTTTTTTTTTTTTTGTAGCGAGGTTCCTTTCTGGACAAGGCTCTTAAAGATATCTGAATTTCAATCGGCCAACATCTTAAGGTCGATATCGGTGTTTCTGCGTTTAAGGGAAAAATAATAAAAGGTGCTAGCTAATCGAGATCCAGTAATTAGCTTTGAAGTTATTGTTTCAAAATAATAAGTTTTGAAGAGCGCGAAGGGGCGGAGCTGGACGGGTAAAGCACGTCAAGTGCGTCGGGCACCTTCGGGAAGAATTTTCCTGTCGCGAACTGTCCTCGTGTGTCACACATGAGTCCTGCACCTTCCGAGACGTCTACATGCCGAACCTTCGAGGTGGAAGCGGACGACCCCGCCAATGAATCTGGTCTTCGTCCAGCTTGTTTTTGTTTTTTGTTTGTTTGTTTGTTTTTTTTTTCTTGCTCGCGTGATTCTCAGCGGTCGTGCGGGCGCCGGGCGAGGGGGCACTAGGGAAGTCGGTCCCGTAGTGCTTGGATGCCGTGCGGGGTCTGGGACGAGCAGGGGTGCACGAGAGCTGACTCTCCAACGCCTCTTGCGACTTCTTTGTTTCGAACATCTTCCCGAGAATATGTAGCTTGCTGTCATCGCCGCGTGAGATAGCGAGCAAGAAAGGGAGAAGGGCACGCACCAGCCCACGCAGAGGAAGTTGGAAAGTCGCGCACAAACTTAAGAAGGGGAGGTCGGGGTGGCATGAGGCTTATGAAAGGGGAGATCGAGAAGGAATGTTGGGAAAAACCATGTCAGCTACGATTGCTTAATCGCAGGTATTTCGGTTTCAGAAAGACCAAATGTAATTTATTCCTGAAAACGAAAACTTCATGCGTGAACGCACGGTATCGATGATGCTTCGACGTATCGGCTGTCCAAGGGAAGCACGAGGGCACGAGGTTTTGCGGGTTCGAGGGCGCCCAGCCGATGAGTGCGGATCGACGCCCCCGATTCGCGGCCGGCGAAGAGAGATCCCGCGAACGGAGGAAAACATTCGGCGGGGTCGGGGAGGGGCCGGCGTCGGGATCCTCAGTCGCACGGAGTCCATCGCCCGGGAAAGGCGAGGTGAAGGGACGTCCTCGCGTGGACTCCCCGTATCCCCTGCTTCATGCCATACGAGACGGAAAGCTTTTTTCGGTTTAGAAGGCTCAGTTTCCTCCCTATTCAAAATCCCGCTCGCATGCACTCGGTCGACCCCGACGTAAAGGCGATCCAGGCTGCACTAAATTGACTTTGACATCACGCGCTGCTCGCGTTCCAGCACCTGGAGGACGTCGGGTTCCAACATCTAGAAGACGTTTATCGAGGATACCAAGGAAAGAAAAAGGCGGAGATGGTGAACGATATCAGGAGGCAGTTGGAGGCTGGGGATATGCCTCCCGCTTACCCGAACGGCTGGTTTGCGATCTTCGAGTCCGACGACCTTCCGTGCGGGGGGGTTCGGTCCATCCAGGCTTTAGGTGAGTGGATGGGAGTTGGAGGAGGGGGATGGGGGTCGACAGCGTGGAGCTTGGATCGCGTTCCAGAGGTAGGAGCCGGCCTTTCTCAGGTCAGTCCCCATGGCGATAGCGGGACGGTGCACCACGCTCAGATGGGCTACGTCCGGGCCGTTCTCTGGGATTTCCTGTGGTTTTTCCCTGCACTTGGGGGCGAACATGGGGGTCGGTGGGAGGGTGGTCGGGGAATGCATCGAGTGTCCCTTTCATGCATGGCTGTTCCAGGGATCCGACGGGAAATGCTCCTACTCGCCCTATACTGATAAAGGTTTCTTCTGCTTTTTGAGAACTTTTTTTTTTTCTTGATGAGCGTTTTCCATTCTGACAATTTATTTTTCTCTCAGCGCCGACGTTCGCAAAGGTGAAGACCCATCTGGTGAAAGAGGCCATCGGGTACATCTGGATTTGGTTTCACGCAGAGGGAGAAGAACCGACGTACGAAATCCCTCGACTATCGGAGATCCACGAGCAGAACTGGAAGTACAGTGGACGAACGGAGCATTACGTCAACGTCCACATACAGGTAGGCACAGACCCGAAAGAGCCGATACGTGTCACACGAGAACCGATTTGTGAAAAATGTGGGAAAAACCACAGGAAATCCCAGAGAACGGCCCGGACGTAGCCCATCTGAGCGTGGTGCACCGTCCCGCTATCGCCATGGGGACTGACCTGAGAAAGGCCGGCTCCTACCTCTGGAACGCGATCCACCACACTTGGAATGCGACGTGGGCCCCGCTCCCCCATCCCAAAGGACACATCGCCCATATTGACCTCACACACAAGCTCTCCTTCTTCGAGAAGTTCTACACGCTCACGGCGAATGCGAACATCGACCAGGTGAGACGGAGAAAAATCAGGGCATTTTTAGGACGTTCTTTGAATTCTTTCGAGAACTGGGAATCGCTCTGGTACGTGCAGGTGGGACCCAGCCTGGTGATCATGCGCTTGTCAGGCGCCGCCATCGGGGAACTCTTGATCGTCCAAGTCGTGACCCCCGTGGGCCCCTTGATGCAGCGGTTCATCCACCGCGTCTACAGTTCCCGGACCTGGACGGCCCCGCTCGCGAAACTGTCCCTCTTCATCGAGGCCCTGAACGTGAGTGCCACTGCAGCTGCCACCGCTGATGTCTCGGTCCGGGGCTGACTCTCTCCGCGTTTCCAGGTGGAACGGGACCTGATGGTGTGGAACAACAAGCGCTTCGAGAAGAACCCCGCCCTCCTTAAGGAAGAACGCCCCATCCGGGATTTCCGTCGCTGGTACTCCCAGTTCTACTCGGAGAACAGCCCCAAATTCGAGTTCGCCAACAAGATGGACCTTCGCTGGTAGGACAGGTCTCCTGAGGGTCCACTGTGATCACCGATGCCGACACCTGTGATCACTTTTGTCTTCGGTTCCCTGTTACGACGCTTCGTTCTCTCCGATCCCCCTGTAAAATTGACCAATTTAAAATTTTCTCGAGTCCCTTTTTAGTGGCACATGGATGGGATATTTCACTAAGTTTACCCGCCACTTGCTATTCAAGCTGTAAAAATGTTTCTGTTTTTCGTTTTTCGTATGATTTGAACATATCGTCTTGTTTTCGTCGAGTGCCCTTCAAGGCCTTCCTTCCTCGTCACTCGGTTGGCATTATTCACCCGTTATCGTGTACATCATGATTGGGAATCCTTCGCGTTTCCCTCCGCCGATTCTACGTCGTATCAGCCAAACGAATCTCCCGCCGAATCGCCCCCGATGGACGAACCAAACGAGAGCATTCTGTGATGAATATGACGATTTTGTCTATAGGCGAATAAAATATGTGTCTCGAAATTTCCTCGTTTGCTTGCATCTGCGACTCGGTTGATGCGCGAGACAGGCACGGCCCACGAAAGCGAATCGAGGCGACGGGTGCGGGTCGACGCCCCGATTCACGGCAAGCGGAGAGACGCCGCCGAAAAAGGAACACTTTCAGCTGGGCTCGAGAAGAGCATCGGCTCCCACGCGGATAGAGCATCACCCTCAATCATGCTAGAGCATCACCCTCCATCGTGCTAGAGCATCACCCTCCATCGTGCGCGAGGATCCCTAGTCTCGTGGTGGACGTCGTCCGGGCCAAACGGAGCCGCGGGATCGGGGTATCCTCACGTAGACTTGGGAGAGGGGGGGGGGGGGGCGCTTCGGGATTCCTCTGAACCCCCCACACGCCAACCCCGCTGGTCGGGGGGGGGGGGGGGGGGGGGGGGGGGGGTGGGGGCACGCTTCGGGATTCCTCTGAACATCCGACAAGCCAATCCAGCCTAACGAGATCCTAGACGATTCTGACCCAGCCCTATTCGACGTCGCAATAACATCGAGACCAGCTTCGTTTCGATATCGATGCGCCATCGACAAGGTATCGAGTCGTCAAACGAACGGTATCCGCGTCGAAACTCCGCCGATCCGCGAACCAAACGAGAGCAGTCCGCCGTGGATCGGATCGCTTAAAAGATAATGAAATTTGTGTCCCGTCCCCCTCGTTTACTCGCGACTATCTCCCGTGTTTTTCTAGGCCGACCTCCCCCCCCCTTGAAGGTGTCGTTATCGACGACGCAAACACCTTTCCACGCGACTCCCCCCGCAATGCGCCCAGTCATTGCTCCGGAAGGGTAAAGGGAAGTCGGAAGGAAGAATGTTCGCACAATCCGTCATGGCCTCTGTCCTGGTGGCGCTCCTCGCCCTGGTCTCCGTCGTCTCTCTCACCGAAGGTCTGCTTCCTGTCCCTTTTGGTTCGATTTGTGGAAGATGGAGGGTGGATGGGGCGAACGAGACCGAACGGAATCTGTCGAGTCACGCGATGGGGGCTATTAGAGCGATTTTTTCTTAAGCGCTTGGCGAGTATGGGGGATAATTCAAGGTAACGAGGCGACTCCTCTATCGGGACTCCCGCGATTCACGATGGCTGGGATACTTTCATTCTCTGAGCCGGGCCGGAAGGACGCATTTTTGTCCTTGGAAGGTCCGGGCGACTCGACGTGACATTCAGTTCCGAGCAGACGCACTTCCGGAAATCTGGCTCTCGCGAAGTTCGGCTCTCCCGACGCGAGAATCGCCGGACGAGTCCGTCGATCTCTCGGTGGGGGGTTCGTGCGATCGGGTTCTGCGTCTCGACCGGCGCTGCCAAGTCCTCGGTCGGGTTTTTGCTTCCGCGCGACTGGACGAATCGTCGCTCCCAAGGGGTCGGGGAAGGAATGGAGAGATTCTCGTTTGCCATCCGCCCGAGAATCGAGATGGAAAGCCAGTCCGCGGAATAAAAAAAAGAGTGTAGGCTTGAGATCTTATGGCATGAGAGGCCCTCGAGGGCGACCGCTGCTGCCGCTCCAGGCTCTTCCGCGTTTTCGCTCTAGCTTTTGCATTCGTTGTGGATGTATCGTTGCACGGTTCGCAATTATTTGCCTGCATTCGGTCCCGGTCTGCGAGCCACGTCTATGCCATTTTCCACCGGCTCGACCTCCCGAAGCTTTCGAACGCATCTGACCCAAGAATGAGAAGCCGAGCAAACCTAATACTCGTCCTCCCTTCCACGAATCGGGGAAAAGAGCCTGCTAGCAACCCTGCCTGTCGCCCGACAGAACTCCGCTCGTCCGCGACGGATCCTTCAGCTGCGGAGGTCGGAAGGGAACTGGCGGCTGTGGGTGGTGGCGTGGCGTCCCGCTCAACGCTGCGCGCATGCGCATCGTGGTTTAGATCCAGGAAGAAGCAGTTGCTCGTACCTTCCCCGATGCGATAAGTCGAAATGCAGATGGGAATGCAGTTTTTGACGCGAATTTCGCCACGAACGAACTCAGCCTGTACCTCGTCCCAATCTATGTATATACGAGCTAATTTTCAGAGTCGTTTTCCTTCCTCGAAGAAGGCAGGTCGGCGGCGACTTTCTCCCTGGAAATCCAGTTCCGAGGCTCGCCCCAAACTTCGTCTTACTGGCAACCGCAGCATACGTTTCTGTCCTTAGGAGGCCTAAAAATCTATATTTCGGCCCAATGAGCAACTTTTGAACCAAAACAAATCCATCGGGCATGCACTCGAGGACACTTGGACTGGATGTCCAGTAAATGTCTCGTCCAAGGATGATCCATGGACACGTCCATCGGACGTCCGTCTCTCTGGATCCGTTAGAGACACCCCGTGGAAAATCCCACGGTTGATCGTCGAGGGGTGCAACATCGGTAATCCCCCAGGCAGCAATGGAGCAAAATGCGCATTTTTCTTCACGGCAAGGGAAAGCAGCATCGGTCTCGGAAAAGGCGGAAACTTCGCGAGAGGAAACCCACGTTCACTGTGACGAGTGCAAGAATAGCCGGAGTTCTCCTTGAGCTAGGTCACACGTCTCCCAACAAATAAATCAATTGGAATTACTTTCTTTTTTCCCTCGGCTCGTACGCGGAAAATCACAGAGCAGAGGATGAGACTTCTTCAGAACCTTTCATCGCCGTTAAGGAAACGAGGAGACGTGCAGCAGCGGGTTCAACGACACCACGCTCGTATTGTAGATGCCGGACCGACATGTTTTTCCTTCGTAATGTCGAACTCCAAATGGAATCGTGTCCAATTACAATGTCGCCCTATCGTTATAATGATTGAAGTTACTGGGTTCAAACTAAGATGAGAGATTTGATGGAAAAAAAAACTACAGAAATCCCACGATCGGATGCTCGAAACGCCATTCCATGAAACCATAATTCAATAAATAAATAAAAATGGAAACTAATCGAGCGCTCGACGAAGTGAAATTCGGCTCGGATAAAGCTGAGACCGCACGAGAAGATCGTCGGTCCACTGCGATGGCGACCGCCTCCGGACTCGAGCCCATCGCTGGGCCCACGAGTCCAGGAGCGGTCGTCCCATGGATCGACATCTCGTGCATTCTCGGCTTCATCCAAGCAGGATTTCCCTTCATCGAACACTTAATTAATTCCATTTTATCGTATGATGGTTTTTTTTGGAACGACGTTACGAGCATCCCATCGCGGGATTTCTATAGTTATATACATTTTTATATATTTTTTAAATTCAAATGTCTCATCTAAGGTCGAAATCCAGTAACTTGAATCATTAAATGGACAGTGTGACATCCTTTGACTAGTGCATGATTCCATTCAGAGTTCGACATTGGGAACGAAACGATGCGCCGGTCCGCCGTTGGACGTTCGGCAAAGGGACTTCCAAGGACATCCTCTCGGGGTCTGCCCGTGGATGTCCCCGGACGAGGTCCCCGCCCCGTCGAGGCCCGACGTCTAGCCGTTCGTTCGATGAAAATTAAGTTCCCATAATGTAAGCGAAGTGGCAACGAACCCACTACCGTGTGTCTCCCGATGTCCTTGATGCAAATCGATCGTTCTGCGGAAGCTCTCATTCTCCACTCGATAATTTTGCATGTACGAGCCGAAGGAAGGAAGTCATTCCAATTAGTTCGTTTGTCGAGAGACGTAACGTAGCTCAAGTAGACTCCCGGCAATTCTTGCACATTGCACGAAGAGAGAGTGATTCCCCTTGCCAAGTGAATCTTTCCATTCTCACGAGTATCACGACGCCCATGGCAACGGGAAGTCAATTTCTCGATGAAGAGGTAAGGATGGAAAGATGAGAGTAACATCTCAGTAATACCTGACTTTCCATCTAAAAGCTTCTCTTCTTTTTTTTTTCCCAGGCGCCGGAGTGGGGCGGAAACTCAGTAACTTCAGAAAGTGTTCCTCTCCCATGCTATGAATTAGCATGCAAACTTTGCTCCATTCACATCCAGGGATGGGGTTCGCTATTGCTATTGCTGCATCCCTCAATGGTCATCCGATAGCTTTGCCATAGGGAATCTCCAATGGATCGAAAAAAAACGGACATCCGATAGGCCATGTCCAAGGATTATCCTTGGAGGAGACATTTAGTCAGCCAGTGGATGTCCGAGTGTCCATGAGGGTGTGTCCTATGGATTTATTTTGGATCAAAATTGCTACTTGGGATAGTCGTCTCCTTCGAGTCGCCGTGTCGATAGCGCGAGAACAATTTTCAGGTAACAGCACATGCGATACATACTTCCATTTTCTCCCCGAGAGTACAAAGCAATCTACCACCATCGAGTCGCTTTCAAACGACGATACGAAACCTTTCATCGCCGCATGTCTCGCGTCCCATCCGCAATCGCCACCTTGAAAGCTCGCCGACGCACTCGGCAACCGCTCTCACCGCAAAACCGGAACCCTCTCTTCCCAGTGTACAGAGAGGCGATGGACGTGTGGAACAGGAGCGTGATCGTGGACCAGAACCTCGGGCTCCGGAACCCGGCCATCGACTCCATCGCCTCCCTCTGGGGAAATCTCTTCGGGAGCCTCCCCTCCGAGGAGAACGGGGAGAAGGCGCCGAGTGTGGAGTGCGGGCGCCAGAACCCGAGGTGGGCCGTGCCTCAGAGGATCGTGGGGGGGAAGCCGGCCGTCCAAGGTCTGTGTCCTTCGTGTGTACCTGCCTTTCTTGATTTTCGTTTTAGGTTTTTTTTTTTCCTTTCATTTTTATTTAAAAGGTTTAAAATATGTTTTCACGACGCTCCCGTAACGATACCCCATGCAGGGGAGTTTCCGTGGCAAGTCTCCTTGCAGAGGAAGTATGTCTTCTACACGGCACACTTCTGCGGAGGTGCCCTGGTCAACGATCGCTGGGTCGTCACTGCAGCGCACTGCGTCTCATCTAAAGTCCCCGGCTTGAGCGTCGTCGTCGGGGACCACGACCTTTCCGCAAGAGACGGTCTGCTCTCCCTTTCTTGAATTATTTTATTTATTTATTTTTCTCACATTTTCCATGCCTTTTCCTTTTTTTCCTCCAGAAATTTTCTCAAATCCTTTTTTTTTATTAAATATTTATTTAAACGTTCTGGACTCGAAAGTACCGCATGACATTCGTCCGCAGGGTCAGAGCAGCAGCTGAGAGTGAAGAGAATCGTCCTGCACCCGAGATGGAACTCGCGGACGCTCGAGAACGACATCGCCCTCTTGGAGTTGGACCGAGGAGTGAACGTGAGGAGCCCGTACGTGGGGCCCATCTGCCTCCCGACCCAAGGGGAATCCTTCTCCGGTAGGCGAGAGTCCGATGCGATTCGACGGTCGGGATTTTCCACACGCTTTCTGCGCGAGTTTTCTTCTCTAAGGAGGGAAGGGGAAGATGAATTGCGGTCGGGAGAACTCGAATGATGACCGAATGGTTCGGACCGGACGGCTGACGGCATTTAAACTGTTGTGGGTCGTGGAGGCCGACGAGAACCTCGAGGTGCCCTCCAAGCGATAGTTCGCGACACACGAACGCGTGCACCTCGAGGGTCTTCGGGCCCCCTTCACTGCTCGTTATTTTATCATGGTATTATTTTTGTAGTTCGTTTTCCCTTCCCACACCGCGTCCTCGAACCGGCGTTCGCGCAAAAAAATCGAGGCGACGAGGGCACATCACTGCACGAGTCCCGAAAAATGAATCAGCCGTTCGCCGATCGCATTGCAGGGAACGTGACGGTGACGGGCTGGGGAGCGGTGGGTGAGGGAAGCTCCAAGTCGAAGGTCCTGCAAGGAGTGACCGTTCCCTTGGTGAACTACACGCTGTGCTCCCAGTCGTACTTGGACGTGACGACCCTGAACTCGAACGTCCACATCTGTGCCGGCCTCGACGGCGGCGGCAAGGACGCGTGCCAGGTGCCCCGACTCGCTTCTTACACCCTTGCCTAGGCCTATTTTGTCGATGTGCAGGCGACTTCCGGTAGACCGCAGGTTACCAATTAGGGGCTGCAAGTTATCTTTCTGTGGCAAGCATGGCACTTAGGTTCTTCGGCAGTTACCCGAATGCGAAGTTTAGAATCAAAATGTAGCATGAAAAAAAAAAACCGAGAGAGCACGGGGACCACAGTTTGCCGACAGATACGATTCTTTCAAAGACAAAAGGGCAAAAGAGGCGGCAATCGGGTAGCAAAAAGAGGGAGGAGGGAAGTTGGAAGCGGGAAGCTGGGGGGGGGGGGGGGGGGGCAGCTTCCCGCTTATAGGGGCCGGTGAAAGAGAAACAGTGCTTTCTTGACTTCCACCCTGGCTGCTCCAGCTTCAGTTCCTCGGATGGCAAAAACCAAATGATGGTCGCCTTCTCAACGTGCAGATTTCAAAGAAGAGAATCCTCTTCTGTCACTGAAGTTACTCCGGGGATAGTCGCTCTCTCGTTGTGTTCGCATCGATAAGGTATGGATGATCTCGAAGCGAGGCAGGTCATCTGCACTTCGGGCCGCATTCTTCGCGGTAGCTATCGATCCTCCTCCCCGAGATAACCCGATCGTTACCGCGACATCCTTCACCGATGGTTTCGGTCACGCAGGGTGACAGCGGCGGACCCCTGGTGCAGAAGGAAGCGGACGGCAAGAACTACCTCGTCGGAGTCGTCTCCTTCGGCCTCGGATGCGCCCGACCCAAGTACTACGGGATCTACACCCGCGTCTCCACCTACGTGAACTGGATCCACTCCATCGTGTCGTGAAGAGGAGGACGCCCCCCCCCCCTCCTCCTCCTCCACGGGATGTCAAATGCTGTCACTTCCATTCTCTTTCTCTTCTCGAGTTCTTTTCTTCAGTGCTTTTCCGTGTTCTTTCTGGATGGGTTTCCTTCCTCTCTCTGTCATTTCTGGTTTCCGAGTGCGTGCCTCCAAGACCTTCCGTGCATCCCGCGGGTGCATCAGAGGTCTAATTCCCCGTGCCATCATTCCGAGAAGGAGCCGCCCGTATCCGCATGCCTTCCAGGGAAAACTCGTGGAATGCAAGGTTGCGGAAGTGCGGGTGACGAGGCGGAAACGGGGGCACTCGCGGCGCAGGCGACCATCCATCCGATTACCAGGCATTTCTGCTCTTTCAGTTTTCGAGCTCACTTTCGGAAAGCCTTATTCCTGGAAAAAATTATGCGATTCCAAAAATTCTTTGAGAATACATTCCGTTCGAGGGAAAATGACTCTTTCTTTCAGCTGACAACGGATTTTAGCCGCTATCGTCCGACTCAGCCGAATCACTGCACCAAACCAGATAAACGTTTCACACTAAATATATATTAATTATATTACATAAAATATAATTTGAAAAAAATCAGAGCACGGTTCAAAGCAGGCAGCAAGATCTACAAGTCCACCGAAACGAGTCGAAATCCTTTCCAGGAAACACCAGACGCTTTCTTCGGTGCGCGGGAATCACGGATCAGTCAGCAGAAAGAAGAAAAGAGTGGAAGTTATTTTGACAAAAGATTGACTTGGGTGGATAAATATCGAATATAGATATACACATTGAATGGGGAAATGCTCGCTCGAGAAAAATGGAAAGACTGAGGCTTCCGTTTCAAGCAGATGATTTTGACTAATTGGAAAACCATCGAGTGTTTTTTTTTTCACGCATTGATGAGAGGAAGATATTCCTTTGAGACACGTTTCGGCAATTAATGAAGTGACGAAATTTCGGCCTCTAAGAAGATGCCGAAACGGGGCGACGGAAGGCTTTCGGTCATTGCGTCCGATTTCTTGCGCGAGGTGGAACTGAATTCACCGAAAAACGATTCCGGTGAGATTCCTCCGTGGGAGTCGAAGGATCCAGGGCAGGCATTGTATTTTTTTTGTGTGTTTTCCAGTAAAATTAGCAACTTTGCGTTCGAATTCCGCTCCGTCGCGAGCGTGTTAACGAACGTCGACACGCGGGTGCGTATCGACGATCGCGCCCGATGCGTCATCGGGCGTGCCTTCTCTCTCGCATCGACGGGTTTCGAGAATGTCGCGACTCGCATTCGCATCGACCTCCGAGGCAGGGCGTGGCGACATTCGCCGTGATTCGCTTGGCGGGGCCCCCCACATTGCCCCACGTCTTCCTGCACGGACGACCCGTCCACCCCACGGGATGGCAGTGCGGCAGGCGTCCTTGCTCGAGTCCGCGTCCGAATTCAAATCCGCTCGCGAGGCAACACGGCGACATTCGCTCTCGGAGGGACGGTTGACGGCCGAGCTCCTTTTTGTTTCTTTGGTGGGTGGTGGGGGGAAAGGGCAGTTTCCAGGTCACGTGCAAGAGAATTCGCAAATGCGTCTCTTACGCGATCGAGGGCGATTCTGTTCATTGCACAAGTCAAATAATGCACCATCATGGTGCTTTCTACCTACTCAAGAACGCTCAGTCGTACGTGAGTCTCGTGCCAAAGGCAGGGTTGATTCAATCGACCATGACGCAGAAGGAAACTGCTTCTTCCCACTTCCCCCCCCCCCCCCCCCCCCCCCCCCCCCCCCCCCCCCCCCCCCCCCNCCCCCCCCCCCCCCCCCCCCCCCCCCCCGCCACCCGCCAACTTGCCGACGTCACCTTGCACCAGAACAACCGCGTCGCCGCCTTCGTTCGCCTCGCCCCGATGCCACAGGCCTTCGCGTTTCGTCCGCCTGCACCCGGCCGTGACTCACCGGTGCCGGCGATCCGCCCCGCCGTCTCACTTTCCTTCGCGTAGAGGACATCTGGAGAAGTGGGGCAGCTTCCTCATGCGTCACGGTCGACCGAACGAGAGCAGGGTGCCCGACTTTCCGAGGTGCATTCCGAACGTTTCTTACATCTCGCATTCGTTACACACTTGCACGAAACATTTCTCTGAAGATGTAACTCAGTCCTGGAATAAACCGGGAAATTCCGGAGGTCCGTGGGAGGATCCTTCTCCTTTCCACGATGAGCGACGCGACCTCTTTTCTCTGATTAAAGATTCTGTACGGTAGAAAGCCTCATTACGCTATCTGGCTTCCTGCGGGAAGACAGATGCCCTTGCATTCTCAAGGGATGTTGCTTGGGATATTCTCAGCTCTCGGCGATAAGAGCGTACCTGTGTAAGGTTATGAGATTCAAGTGAACGTGGGGCCAAAGGATCCAAGGATCCTCTCTCCAAGATGCTTAATACGAGGGGGGTCAATAAATAAGGTGAATTTCAGCATAGCTTCAAAACAGTTTATTCCAGAAACATGAACACACACCTACTTTTATGTGTAATTACCTCCAACCTCAGCACATTTATTCCAGCCACTGACAAGCTTTCTATTTCTATCAGAGAAAAAGTTTTCGGTAAAGAGTGTAGCCAATTATGCACCGCATTTTGAACGTCTGTTTCATCCCTGAAATTGCGCCCCCGAAGTGCATCTTTAATTGGCGACCGTTTCTGAATAGTTCACACCACTTGTACGCACTTTTCGATGAAAAACGACTGTCCCCATATTGTGCACACATTCTTCGATAAATTTTACTTGGTTTAATTCTTTCTGACAGTAAAAATCGAATGCCACTTCGCTGTCCAACAGCGGTGCAATCTGAATTCGGGGCCGCCATTTAAAAAATTGTCAGTGACAATGTTACCAACATTATATTGTTGAAACAATGAGTACTGCATGTTCAGACATGCAGTAATGAGGGTATGTAGTAATGAGTACATAATAGGTACATAATGTCCGTGAAAAATTTAAATTCACCTTAGTTATTGACTCCCCCTCGTACAATTGATGCAGTTTATCTGAGTGGTTTTTCCCTATATCTTTTCACTCTTGTGAAAAGTCGGCTTAAGCCCGCCGCACACGAGGCAACTTTTGTTGCTCGGCCGTCGCAGATGAGCCCCCCCCGGGACACACGGAGGAATCTGCAGGCAATGTGATGCTAGAATTAGGGCCGGCCTACATCGCAGCAACATCGCAGCACCCCTGCACACGGAGCAATATCGTGTGGAGCGCCGGTCGCACGACAAAAATTTTGTCTCGTGTACGGCGGGCTTTATGGTATTATGGTAAGAGCATGTGGGATTTCCTAACGATGAGTCAAAGTTGGCCCGATGAAGGGCCGACAGGACATGCCCGACCGTAAGCTGGCTTAAACCAACCGTAAGCCAATCATATGCCAGTGATGACCCAACTAAGGTTTATATAGGCGTCGACGAGAAGCTATCGATGGCCCGAAGAAAACCTGCTGAAAACCGATGAAAAAAAAAAAAGATTGGAAGCCACTGCTTCGACAGCAACTTAGGATCGTACAGGTGGATCCAGGCCTCATCCCCAGAGACAACTCGAGCCACAAAGGCGTCGGGATCGGCGTCGAACTTGTTTAAGAAATCCACACTTTCGATCTGCCCTCTGATTCTTCCGATCTGGGCAGAAACGCCTCCGTACCCAACGTGCACGAAGCTTGCTCAGACCCGGCTTCTTCGGCACGTGCAATGCGCCGATCCAGCGGAGGTCCCTAAGGAGTCTCAGCCAGCGCCTCCGCCCGCCTCCGCCCGCGAGGGAGCCCCCATGCATGCAACGGTCTGCGCAAATTTGCGTCGTCTGCTTCTCTTCTCGCTTGAGCTTCGTCAGAAACTTCAAAAAAATAGCACGAGTTCCAGATTTTCCGTGTCGACGCCGAGTGACCTCGCTTTACCGCCCCTTGTATCATATTCTATGCGAAATGGTGGGCCGAAATGACCTGGTAAACTCCAGGAATGTTGAAGGAAAGCATTTTGAAAATTGTTACCATTGGTTGTAAAGCCATATTCAATTCAAATTCATTTATTCATGACAGAATGTATTAATTTGAAGTGTTTTTACTGCGTAGAAGTCAAAATAAATACGCAGTAAACACAGTTTACTTGATAAAGTTGGCAGTATGTTGCTGCATTTCAACAACGTATCGCAACCTTCAAAATAAGTTCGCGGAATCCCCCCGGGAACAGTCGCCGGCGTCGATCGGGCGTCGCCAGGGATCCGCGCAACTTCTGGGAGCAGCCTCTTCGAATGGAATGTCCTTCAGTTGCTTGGTCGCATTTTTTTTTTTTTTACAATTTCCTCGATGACTTCGAAACGACTTCCCGATCGATTTTTGCTCGGGCGAGGCCCGTGAAGGGGGAGGGGGGTCCGGGTGATTAACGAGACTCTGCTCCGTTACTGCTCATTACTCCATGCTCATTGTTACTCATCACATTATTACTCATTGCTCTTCTCCATTACTACTATCTCCCTAGTTCTAATAAAATCATTCCGCGAACTTCTCGACTGGAACGGGCTTGCGAGATTCAACCTATTGCTCTCCTGAAATCCAAAATCTCTGCCGCAATTTGAAATTATTATTTTTTTGTTCGATTCCTTCGATGAAGCGATTGACGCCGCCTGTCGCATCTCGACCATCCGGTAAGAGGCCTTAACGACAACAAAAATTCGTCCAGCGATTCTGCGGGATTCTCGACGAAGAGGAAGACGACGAAGAGGAAGACGAGCCCGTAGGACTCTCGACGATTCTTCGTCGAGAGTCCAACGAACGTTTCTCAAGATGCAGACGAGGCGTGCCGGATCGGCGAGGCTCGGGATTCGCTCCGGCTGGTTTCGAAAAAGGGCGTCCCGCTCCGAAAAGGCCTCTCCGCCGAAGATTCCAGGTCGTTGAGCTCTAATCGTACGGCTAAAGTAACACAACGTACCTTTAGTACCGTTGCTATCGTGGCAGCAGAAGCTTCAATCCTCGGTGCTTCGTGAGCGAAGGGAACCGGAAGGAATCGAATTCCGCGCCGTGACATAGGCGCGGCGTGTCTCAGCCCGCACTGGGTGTTTCGGCAGACATCCACCAGATGTCAGCTGCTTTCGTACCGATTCCCAAGACCCAGCGGTTCTCTCCTGGCGTTCGCCGGCACCATGGTGTTTAAGTGTGGAAAGTGATGCGAGTTTCGTTCCTTCGTGGTGACAACGGAAAAAACGTTTTCCCGTCGAAACGGGAAAATGAGGATGAGAGAATACGGCCTCAGCGCCTGGGAGTACCTCGATGCGGCGACCGGCGGGCCATCATGGCGTCGCGCTGTGACCCGTTCACGTGCTTTCCACTGTCTTTTTCTGGTCACGCCTCTTCGCCGGTTTTCGAGCGAATTCGTGCTACCATTAACAAGCTTCAGGGATCTATTGTCATTTACGTCATGGGAGATACACCGTTGAAATACCACTGCACGTTGTAAAAGTCGCTACGACTTCATTATGCGCTTCTCAATGAGAGATTTCAGTCATTCTTAGAACTCGCCAATGGTTCTGTACTTATTGCTGATAGGGATAAGAGTTCGGATTAATTTTGAAGAACATGCAGGCCTAGCCTTACAATTTGCAAGTTAAGTTATAGTATATTTAAACGTGTGTGACATTGCTGTGGTGCTTTCGGGCCGATGAGGTGGCATTTCCACAGGGAGGACCTTCTCATAGGCCTAACTGTTATTTTATTGTGTATGAATAGAATTGCGATCTGAGCCCAGCAATTTCATGCTTTGTATGAAAGAACTACTTCATGCTTTTAAATTTCTTTAAATTATACATAGTGTTGACAAATTCCTTCTAAGGACTGATAGTCTCTGGCTTTGTCTGAGGATTCTACCATGCCTACAAGGGGCATTACAATGGGAATAGTTTTCTCCTTGGAATACCTGGTGAGCAAGTTCCATTTGACCACTCCTGTATAGAGGATTGATTTAATTAATATTCCCATTGGCTATTCCAGGTCTTGTATGCATGACAGAACCAAGCCAAAAACTTTACCCAAAGTCTAATATTTCTCTTGGGAGAAAATAACACAATCATGGGAATTACTGGAAGTCCTGTAAAGGATAGATGTAGCACAGTGCTGAGTTTATTTTTTTTTTTACATAGGCCTGTGCCTATGAAAAAAGAAACTGTACTTTATGCTGCTTCAATCCCAATATGAGCAGCTGGGTATGTGTTCTCATTTCTAATTCAAATCATTAGTAATAATGGCTGAATGCACATCAATTCTAAACTCTGCTTGAGGTGCAGATCTGGTGTAAGTATACTTTAGCAACACTAATTCTTGACAGGCCAATAAGGCCACAGGATCCAGCAAAACGATAGTGACTTGGAACGATAAGAAGAATCAACAGCTAGCATCAAGTGACATTCTTCTACTGTTGAATGAAATGAAAGCATATAAATATTGTAGGCTGTGGTTCCCTCCACAATAACAATTTGCTTCACAGTACTTTCTTCCTTCATCCAGGTTTTTTCAAGTCAAGAAGTCTATTCTCACAGATGTCCTATCCCCTATTTTGCTTCCAATAGTGGTACTATAGTGACCTTTCAGCTTCTAGTTTGGCATGTTTTGCATGCTAGGAATCTGCCGGTAGCATTGCACTTTCCTAGAAGTTCACTTTATTAAATAAGGAAATCAGTCTAGATCCCTAGTCTAAAGGATGCTGATAAAAGACGTGGTTCTGGGGGAAGATGCTCCAAAAGCTTTATTGCTGGAGAAGCACAAGGAATTCCTTCTCTCCTATGGGAAGAAGTCTCACATGGACTATGTGAGTAACTTTTCTTTTATTATTTCCATTGCATCCTGCAAAGAAACTGTTGTCACAAGGTATAATGAAGTGGAGTTTCTAGGGGGGTATTTAACATTTTGTTGGCAATTTCTCCAAACAGGAGCATAAAATGACAGAATATTTGAGGATGTCAGGATACTACTGGGGACTGACAGCCTTGAGTTTGATGGGAGATCTTGAGCATGCGGGAAAAGAAGAGATATTAAATTTTGTTCAAGAATGTCAGAACCCATGTGGTGGAATCAGCCCTGCACCAGGCCATGATCCTCATCTCCTCTATACTCTTAGTGCTGTCCAGGTATGCCATGTTTCTGGAAGGCTATTGATGAAACTTGGTGAGTGATGTCAGGGAAGTGGGCTGGGAATCAGTTTGACTTGAGCCAGTCCCATTACCCTCATGATCTTCATGGATGGTGGATGAGCCTTTCCATTGCTGATTTTCAATTATGCAACATATGAGTTGAAAACCACAGATTTGGTGAGATTTTAGACAACAGCAGTCCTGTAAAAATGTTTACTAGATTTTTTACTAAAGGCATGGTAGAAAAGTTTTGGAAAATGGAGGACTAATATGGAGCAATGAAATTTGCTTAGCAGAGATCTAATACATCTCTACCTCATTTCACTGAGAGTTTCAAATGCATATAATTATAAATTTGTTATTACATGAAATTCTCTCACAATTATTCAGGTGTCAAGTTTTTCTTTAGGTTTGCAGCTAGTTGAAAAGCTAGTTGAAGTTTAAAGTATCCCTGCAGATGCTGGCAAGACATAATTGACTTGCAACAGGCAGATAACAGACCCACAGACAACCAGGCAATCATATTAGGAATCTACTTTGATTGTCAAGTTTTAAAGAGCACAGCACCCCCCCCCCCCCCCCATTGTCATTTAGTCCCTTGAGAACATTATGACATTTTAGGGTCATAAATGGAATCCTTTCCAAAAAATTTTTTTTTTAGCATTTCTTTTGTTCATGACTGTTGTATATTACCCACAGATCCTGTGCCTTTATGATGCATTGGACATTCTTGACAAGGAAGCCATAGTCAAATATGTGTCAGGGCTGCAACAAGATGATGGTAGCTTTGCTGGAGATAAGTGGGGAGAGATTGACACCCGGTTTTCCTTTTGTGCCCTTGCCTGCCTAAGTTTCGTTGTAAGTTGGGTCATTCTTCTCAATTTCATGTTGTAGAATATTCATGATGGTTCTTGATTCCATGCTCATTTTGTTCATTACTATTTCATGTAATTTACAGTTTTTCCAACTTCTATAATACCGTTTTTTATGTATTAACCCACATATGCCAGAAAAAATTTGATGGATTCTTCCAATTCATGGATATATTCTGCTTATTTGGGGGGATCTTTGAAAAATATTTTCAAAATTGTATTAATCTTCACTTGACAGAAAACATGCATTCTGAGGATGCTAGAAGTTCTGATCTTCAATGAACAACTGCAGAGATATCTTTGTGCACATCTCTACACGTCATCCTAATTATAGAACACCAGGCATATCTGGGTTAATTGATATATACCTTACATTTATTGCAATTCGAAGTTGAATCACAAATGTGGTTTTTATGGATAGAAAATGGTCCATGTCCAGAAAATATCACATCACATGATATCCAAACTGCATAATTTTTTCAGTACCCATAATCCATGAAACATGCATATTTCAATTCAATATGTTTTCAATGAGTATACATTGTCTTTAATGAAAAGGTGATCTGTAATTCAGATTCATTCAGATTGTATAGTTGGCACCAGCATAGATTGGAGTCTGTTTTCAATTTTGAAAAGTATGTTGAGGTTCAGGCTTGAAATTGGATACCTTAGGATTATTCCTCACTGAGGAAGGTGTCAGCAATGAAATGATATAGTATGTTTTTTTTTTAAATAAAGTATGTAGAGTTTGGAAATTTTGTTGTTGTGGAAAGCAGGAAATTGAAAACATGATTGTCAGGAAGCAACATATAGACTTGAAGGTTGATGGTTGGCATTCTGTGACAGCATTGCAAAAATATTTTGGGGAATTTTGAGACATATTCCATCTTCAGAAACGATTGGATGCCGTGAACGTGGACAAGGCTGTGGAGTATATCTTGCAATGCATGAATTTCGATGGTGGCTTTGGGTGTCGGCCAGGGTCAGAAAGCCATGCGGGCCAGATCTATTGCTGTCTTGGTGCCCTCTCCATTGCAGGCAAGTTTTCCTTGATTTATGCCTTGATCTTTTTGCTGTGAACTGGTGAATATTATGGAAGTATTTTTATAAAAGGGATATGAAAATGTCTTCATAGATACTGAAGAAAGTTGTGTACAGGTACATCTCATGAGTGAGATTATGGAAAAGAAAATAGTGCTCCAGGCCATTGGAATGATTAAAGTATCATTTCTGTCTCAGATTGGTTTTGTTTGTGCTACATTGTTCTGGGGTTTCCTATGCACCACCCATCTGAATTCCACAGAGCTGTTCCATGTTAAGAAAAGGTCAGCTTAATTCTATATTAAGACACATTTATTTACATTTGGAGTTTAAATTTTAAGCTGAAAAAGTGAAGAAAATGTAATGATGAAGGTGTGGAGACTAAGGAGATAGAGAAATGCCCAAGATACCATTTCCAGTCTATCAATTTAAGATCTGTTGGTTTAGACATAACCCACACTGTATTAAATCCATTAAGCCAGAGCAAAATTGGCAGTTTTTTTCAAGATCGCCCTTTCATATGTTAAAAATTGGCAGTGCTTAGCATACAGGTTCCAAATGTACTGTATCATCAGATATTCATGATGATTGTGGCTATATATGGAAAATAAATCATTTTTTCTCTTTCACTTTTATTGCAGGCAGTTTCTTTTATGTTCACATTTTTTTTATTCCAACCAATTTATATGTCATCAATTTTGCATCATTCTAAATTCCTGGTGACATTTACATGAAATAAGATTGTGCTGTGTGTAGCCCAGTTTTCATGCTTGAAGCTTATAAGGGGAACCTGTGCTAATTCAATGATGAACTAAGCATAATATCATCATAGCACTAGATTAGATTAAATATATTCTTGAAAAGAAGTTTCAGTGAAGAATGGTTCCTATGATTAAAGATTGAAATATCATTGAACATTTTGTTGATTCATTTATTGTATGCCTCTAAATAACTATTTTCAGTCTAGTGCTTCCCTCCTTGTTTCCTAGAGTTGCTTTCCTTATCATCTTTATCAACCTCATTGATTTCTTGCTAGAATTTGCCCCTGGTCAAGTTTTACATTTCTTGAACTCTCCATTTTAGGACTTCCTTGCCTAGGGTTTCCCTCTATAGATGTATATTGAGCTGATATTTTCATGTTCTTGCAAGTAGCTGACCTGTTTATGACCAGGAAAGTTGTCTGGCCAATGGCAATTTGAAAAGTTTTTCCTGCAATAGAGTCCAAACGCTGCCAGAAACAGACTGCTTTTTCCTTTCATTCTTTGATGCATTTTTATGTCTGAACATGCAGGGAGTCTCGATCTAGCCAAGGGAGATTTGCTCGGCTGGTGGTTGAGCGAGAGGCAGCTTCCCTCGGGAGGTCTCAATGGTCGCCCCGAGAAACTACCCGATGTCTGCTATTCGTGGTGGGTGTTGGCCTCCCTCTCCATGCTCGGGAGGCTCCATTGGATCGACCACGATTTGCTGAGATCCTTCATCCTTGCATGTCAGGATTCAGAAACCGGTGGGATCTCTGACCGGCCCGGAGATATTCCCGACCCGTTCCATACCCTCTTTGGTCTCGCTGGTCTCTCTCTCTTTGGTGATGAACACCTGGTACCCATTCATCCTGTTTTTTGTCTCCCATATCCAGTGATTGACAGACTTGGCATTCAGACTCAGTCTCTGCATGTTGGATGAAACAAAATTTAATGTGATGCTTAAACTTATTTGGTCAATGTGTGATAGATATGCCTGTGAAGTGAAGCCTATGAATTGTTTATTGGTGGTTTGACTTGTTCCTTTGTTGATCTACTTTCTTGTCTTCCTTAGGTTCTCTTTTATTTCATGAACCTAAGTTCCATTCATTACTTGTTAAACACTTTCACTGCTGTTCATGCCATATCTTGTGTTTGGCATGGCTCTAAGCTCTACTGCTGTGTTGGCAAGGAGAGGTTGGCTGGGATTTTAAATCCTTTGCAGTCAAGGTGTAAATGTTTTCTTCATTCATTTTGAATTCTACCTGTGAGATATGTGATTCTGGGTATCCTTCTCTTGTCATTTAAAGTCAGAGCACTTTTATGCCAAATATTGCCCAAACATGAATCAGTTCTTATTCCTGATGTTGTTCATTTCTCAAAAATGTTCTTTTAAAGCTTGTATTGTCCAGCACCAGTCAAGAATGAGTGTGCAACCACTTGTAGTAGGGTCAGTTGTCTGTCATGATCAAACCCTAGTAGCAGATTGACACTACAAACCATGAACCCCAGTAAAATATTCCAGCTGGATTCTCATTTTTGATCCAAGCTGGTCGTACATGAAAATTGCACTGGAACATGACAGAAACCTGTATGGTTCTCAGCTTGAATGAAATCCATGATCTAAGAAGGAACTTTTAGAGGCTATCCTGAGGTTCTTGTATTCATTCCAATCTTGATTTCATGTAGAGACCAAATTAACACCCTGCTGGTAGATCTCCAGCTATGCTGTAGCAAGAATGCTAGTGACTCACTACTTCTGACAGACTAAGCACTTGATGTTTAAGCTGCTGCCACCTGGGCTTCGACACGTTTTTGTATAGGTGTTAAAGGTTAGGAGCAGAAAATACATGTTTCATTCTTGGGTGGAAAAAACGTATTGTTGGAATGGTGATTACTTGCACAATTCCCACTTACTTGCACATGGGAAATTAAAAAAATTGGGAGGAAACTGAGCCTTCTAAACTGAAAAAGCTTTCTGTCTCGCATGGTGTGAAGTTCTGCAATCCGAAGTCATGGAAGGAAAATCAGAAAAGAAACACAATGTACTGTAGAGACGAGGAACGGTCTTAGGACATCTCTCCCCCTTTTTTTTTTTCAAGGCTAGAGCACCAATTACGACTATGTACCAATGGAATATGCGTAGCATTGATTTTAATTTGATGCACCTGCAAGAAATTAATTAGCTTGGAACGAATATGAATGATAAAAATTCGCAAAAATTGACTTTACAATTCGTCACGACGGCAATGATGACTAAAAATCTGAATCGTTAGTTGGGAAGAAATACGGCTTGCTGGATGTATTGGAAAATGTACTGGATCGTAAAAAGTAGCCCATTGACAAAGACACCACTGGCCGAAACTTCAAATCGAATAGAATAGTCTGCCGCTGGTCTTCATCTCTGCAGTCATTTCCTGCAGACACGATTATTTTTCATCCTTTCTGTCATAAAATGGCAGTGCATACATGGGTTGAAATTATTATTAAGTAATGGTTGAAGATCTCGAGGTATTCAAAGTGGATGATTTACTATTTTGACTTTTCTATTTTATTTCCTAAATAATATTTTGTGGTTGTTGAGTTTACAGTCGATTCCGCCTAATGGAATACCATTGCACGATCCCGATTTACGGTGCGATACAGCAGATAGTTTCGGTTATAGGAATACTCCGGATGATAGAATAAAGTTCTCTGGTCCCGTGAGTAGTCCAATATGCGGAGTCAGTTGTATTGGCTTTTCCCAGTTTTGCCTTTTATTGTATTCCAGCTCGATTTTCCCATTTTTTCTTACAGACTTCTTAGCACACCTCAAGAAATTTTCATCGATGAAACCTTCTCCCGTCTAATGAGAGCGACACGACGCATTTCCCGGCCTCGAAAAGAAACTTTCCCAGACTGCGTGCAAACTCATCTCGCGAGAGAGAGAGGAGATTCTTGAATCACCGGACGATGTGAAGGGCACCTTGGTCGGGGTGATGTGGGGCGTGGGCCCGCCCTCGTCACCATCCAGTCGTTCTCCAGTCCCCCTACGGCCCCGGCCGGTAAAGGAGCAGGTGTGGTCGCGGTGCGCTAGTCGCACGGCGTTCATTCGGAACGGTGAAGGCACTATTAATGAACGACCTGGGTTCGGGGACCTCAAGGATGTAGGTATATGGTCAAATCGCTGGGTGTATGGGCAATGGAAGATGGAAAGAAACGAGTCATTTAGGGTCTCTCCGGCCTTTGTCGGCGGATTGACTCCTACTGTCAAAGGTGTTCATCATCTTACATTCTGATGCCACGTGGGTATTCTCTTCGAAAGCTACCTCAGTCGTTGCAAAGACTCTGAGGACAACCCGGTGACGGAACCGATAGATGAAGCCTGCGCGCAAAACCCGCCGGAAAACTGGAATAGCAACCCCATTAGCACAAAAGTAGTGGGCCAAAAGCGGCCCAGGCCCTTCACTGGTGGAATTCTGCCGGGGCGGGAACGTGGCAGCGAGTGGGACGTGCACCTGGTGGCCCACAACCAGTGGCGGATACAGAAATTTTTCATAGGGGGGGCGGTTCCCAAGTTCCTACCCCCACCCCCCCAGTCTACCATCATTCCTCTTCCTTTCACCTTTTTTATTTTTCATCTGGGGTAAGAACTTGAGTTTCTATTTCACTAGCTCCAATAAAATGTAATGCAGATGCTATTTTGAATAAAGAAAAGGGGGAGAGATGTCGTAAGACCGTTCCTCGTCTCTACAGTACATTGCGTTTCTTTTCTGATTTCTGGGGTAAGAACTTGAGTTTCTATTTCACTAGCTCCAATAAAATGTAATGCAGATGCTATTTTGAATAAATAAATCAAATGCCAACCTGGCCATAGGGGGGGCGGTCGCCCCCCCCGCCCCCCCCCCTGTATCCGCCACTGCCCACAACCCGATGAAGTTGGTGGGCCACGAGCTCTCTTCCCCAATTGTAGGTGGTGCGCCTCCACTTACATGCGACTTGGGTATGTGCAGCACGTACGAGATATGGGAAAGTATTACATGGAATTGGACGAGTATGCCGACGGGGAGACGGATAGGCTCGTTCTTCTACTCTGGTGAATCTTCTTCCGAGTCGTCGTCAGAGGATCCCAGTCGGAAATTTTTCATCGGGCCGTCGGTGGCTTTTCGTCGACGCGTGTGTCGGGCCATCGACGGGATGTGGTCGGTCTGAGCACGGTCGGGCACGTCCCGTTGGCCCCTCGTCGGGCCGACTTCGGCTCGTCGTTGGGAGACCGCCCATGCCCCGACCGGAAGCCGTCCTTTCGCAACGGTGAAGAGACGTCGAAAAGAAATCCACACGAACTGCGTCGGCAACACGACGCGTCTTCGAGAGACGAGAAATGCATCCTTCGTCTGGGTCGAGACGAAACAACCATACACGGGTGCACTCCTATCGCCGAGAGCCGAGAACATCCCGAGCAACGTCCTTCGCCGGATGCTAAGGCTTCGAGGAGCGGAATCACGCGTGAATGCAGGGGCGTCCGTCCTCCCGCAGGAGGCCGGGGATGCCTCACGGCAGTGGTCTCTAAGTCGGAAAAAGGAAAAGGTCGCGTCGCTCGTCGTGGAAAGTAGGAGAATCCTCTCGCTGACCTACGGGTCGGAATTTCCTGCTTCGTTCCGGGGCTAGGTTTCATCTTCGTGGAAATGTTCCAAGGAATCCGATCGTCTTCCTCCGAGATCCATCCAGAAACCACAAGGAACCGCGTCCGAGGGACTAATTCCGGCGGAATCCGGGAAGCGACTACGATGTCGATGATGACTACGACGAAGTGACTACTACGACCGCTTTGGCTCCGTCTCGCACCGGTTTTCGAATCCTTCGCAATCTTCCTGCAGACACGATTGCTTCGAATCCTTCGAAGCAATCGTGTCTGCAGGAAATTACTGCTGAGATGAAGACCAGCGGCAGACGATTCCTTCGATTCGAGGTTTCGGCCAGTGGTGTCTTCGTCAATGGGCTAATTTTTTTTTACGATCCAGAACAGTTTCTAATACATCCAGCAAGCCGTATTTCCTCGTTCCAAGCTAATTAATTTCTTTCAGGAGCACCCAATTAAAATCAATGCTGTGCCAACTGTACCATTTCAATACGAATCGGTACATAATCGTAATTGGTACCCTTCCCTTAAAAATAAAAGGGGGGGGGGGGATTGTTGCACGACCTTTCTTCGTCTCTTCTCCTTCCTCAATGTCGGAAATCCTCGGTGCACTCTGCCCACTTGTCTTGACGCAAGCCAGTCGACAATATTTCATTGGGCCACCGATGGCTTTTCGTTGCCGCGTGTATGAGCCTTAGTTGGGCCCTTACCTGCAATATGGTTGGTTTAAGCCGGCTCACGGTCGGGCATTTACTGTTGGCCCTTCATCTGGCTCCCAAGTAGCGATTCGGATCAAAAATGAATCCATTGGACCTCATGGACGTCCAATGCATATCCTCCTCGGACGTCCAATGGATGACTCGTCCAAGAATCATCCTTGGAAATGTCCATCGGATGGCCTATGGGATGTCCTTTTTTTTTTATCCATTGGAGATTCCCTTTGGGAAAGCTATCGGATGACCATTGAGGGATCGAGTAATCCCTCCATCAGTAATCCCCGGGTAGCAACAGAGCAAAATTTGAATATGCATAATAGTTTTTCTACGCGTGGAACACGATTACTTCCTGCAATTTCCCGGTCTCACCCACTCACGAATCCTGGGAGGAGCTCGAAGAGAAGCGTGTAGACGACAAGTAAGCCACTACTGGACCTACTTGCTCTCGTCTTCTCACACATGCCTCTCATCCCAGAGACCGCCTCTCGTCGTCGAAGGCTACATGAATCCAAGCCGAAAGGAATCGACTTTGCAAGGGGAACCCCTCTCCCTCCGTACCATGTGCAAGAATTGCCGGGAGTCCTATCGAGCTACGTTACGTCTCTCGACGAGCGAACTAATTGGAACGACTTCCTTCGGCTCGTACATGGAAAATTATCGAGTAGAGAATGAGAGCTTC